CGGTTTTCTTCTTTGGGGGTTCACCTTCCTGTTGTGGTTGTTTAGATTTTGCATATCAATTTGTTTCACTAACAATAACATTTAAAGTTTCAAATGTAAGCAGAAGTTTAAACAAATCAACAGCTGTATTAGTAGAGGTTACCCGTTGGGACACAGGTTCGCCTCTCCTGAACGGAAGTACATGGGTAGGTTCTTCTTTGGTGATTTGCAGGTCCAAGTGTCAATACAGGTGAGAGACCTCTAATGCTGGGAAGGAGCAATCCTAGTAGATACTGTAGCTCTACCCCTTCCTCTACCCCCTCTTTGTCCTGCCTCTTCTCTGTGGTGGTGGTGTAGATTGCCTTGATGTACCTGGCCTGGGTGATTCCACATCCTCATCTGATGACGATCTTTCACCAACTATTTCCTGATCTGTCAATAAGACAGAATCAAGAAGAGCTGGCTCTAGATTTGGTTGCCATCTGGTTTTATAGATAGATTCTGTCAGAGGCATTGACACATTAGCAGAAACTTCATCAATTTCAGACTCCTCTGACAGAATGCCTTCTTCGTCAGATGAGAAGGACACATTTAGAAGAAACTTTATCTCTTCTTCACTGAGTTTTTCCCCTCAGCTCTTTTGCTTTATTTTTTAATGTGTCCATTTCTAGAAGAAAAAAAACAACATTAAATGTATATTACATGTATCCTCTGTTGTGTATTAATACATATATTATATACATAGTGTATTCTCTGATGTGTATAGTTGTTTTACATGTGTATATATGTAATCTGTGAGTGTGATGTGTATCACAGATTTCAGAAGGAGTACATGATGTGCTAATATACAGAAACAAGTACACTGGATTTTATCAACTAATATATATTGAAATTATTGAACAGATGTATATGTACTAAAAATTATGATTACTTACTTTGAAGTAACTACCAAAAACGTTTTGCACACTCCGATCACCAGTTTGAAGAATGCAAAATAGTTGTAAAAGAAGACTTTCAAAACCAAAACTAAAACGGTGTAGTAGATGGCAGTGGAACCTTAGTTTCTATTGGTTGGCAAATAAGTGTGGTGAAAATGAGAGAGTAATATCATTTATAAAAATGTGCCCAAATAACACCTTCATATACTTATGCTGCAAAATTCCACATACATCAAATGGGTGACCATAGTACCGAAACACCTGCTATGTAATTGGATAAGCCCGGCTTAGAACCTACAATGTTAACTGGATTAGCTCAACTCTGAACCATAGGATAAATGTTTTTACACATTCTAATTGCAATCTTATTACCCCTGGGAAATTCCTGTTGAAAGTGTTGTAGGAACTATAAACTGTTATATCCCATATTGTGTTCTCAGAGCAAGGGGAATGTCACCTCATTGAATACGAGTGTATTTTTGCACTCAAGGGTTTTGTATTATGGTTGTACATAAACAGTCTTATAACATGGGCGGTGATTTATTGCTTTTTTGTCAGCAGGTTTGCAATTTGTTAGTGACAGTAAGATAAACACAGAAAATATATGGGATATGTTTAGCAGTTCAAACTGTCAGGGGAAGAACTTTGAAACTTCATGATCAATAATGAAGAAAAAGGAAACGGCTGCTCATTATATTTCTGATTTTACTATTTTTTCTTTTCATTCTACTTGAATGAGTTGTCTACAGGCTGAAGAATCAAATAATAAATGTAATAACAGGTAAAATATAACGTTTTATTGAGAAAAAAAAGGTATATATGTATTTAGGAGGTTTCAGTGGTTGTGCAAATGAAATTCAAGATTTTTGAAACAAAGAAAAGTATTTCAAATCTTAAAATGAAAATCATTTTACACTCAGACTAGTTGAAAAAGAATCAATATTTTCAGGACAAGTATAAGTAAAAATACTGTATTAAAAAATCAGATTTTTTTTTCTGCAAAAGGCTTCTAATGTTTACTATAAGTCTACAAAATTTTGTAAAGATACACTTAAAATATTAAAAGTTATAGCATGAAAACTATAACAAGCATAAAATGGTTATGAGGTCGGTCCCAGGGACCAAGCCCATGTCGAAAGAGTTAAAGTATGAATTTGGTCTATTATTCATTGCAAGATAATATGCAATCCATATACACTATACTACCAAAAGTCATGGGACACACCTCTGATTGTAGAAAATGGGTGTGACAAGAAATATGCAAATAGTTTGGCCTGTAAAGGTCATCGTCAGTTTGCTTGGAAGTCATTTCGAACTTGTACACTGAACAATGAGTACATGGAAAGAGCTAACAGTTTCATAGGGGAAGGATAGTTGGATGTCATATGGGAAAAATATCTGTACATGCTATAGCACAACAATTAAACATTCTTAGGCCAACAATTGGCAATGTAATGAAGAAATGGAACTCCACAGGTGACAATGAGCCTAAGAAATAACCAGGTAGGTGTAAAATACTAACTGACAGGAGCCAACGCGCCTTGAGAAGGCTGGTTATCTCATCTCGCCGTCAGACCCTAGAGAATCTGTGTTTGGAGATGCAAGCAGCCACAGGCAATTTTATATGTGTTTCCAGGACACGACGAGAGTTGCATGCCATGAATTTTCACTGAAGAGCTGCAGCCCACAAGCCGTTTATAACAAAAACAAATGCACACTGTCGATTGGCATGAGGCAAGGTATTCTGAACTTGGACCGTGGATCAGTGGAAATCTGTCCTGTGGAGTGACAATTCATGCTACATGTTCTTCCACTCTGATGGATGTATTTGGGTATGGTGGATGCCTGGAGAATGCTTATGAATGTGTTGTCCCAACAGTAAAGTTTGGAGGTGGCGGTATCGTGATCTGAACAATTCCATGTGACCTACATTGTGGCAGTTTTATGGTACCAGCCTTTACATCTTCCAACATGATAATGCTCCATGAACTGGAATGCAAAATTAGGGCAAGGCCAAGATGGCCCTCTTCAATAGTGGAGCTTACTAATGCTTTAAAGGAGGAGTGGAGCACAATACTACCAGCTTTCTACCAGAAGTTAGCACATAGTTTTCCACGACACATTGAAGCAGTCATTAAGGCCAAAGACAGGCCAACATGCTATTAATGTCTTGGGATAAAGACATGTTTTATTCATAACTACCCGTATCCCATAACTTTTGGTAGGATAGAGTAGTTGGCAAGAAGGTATCCTTTTCGTTACTAAATACATTAGTGATGGGTTGCTTTGTACTTGGCTGCTTTTCTTGGGTTTCTGTAGCAACAACATGTACTTGATCTTTTGTATGGCTATGTTTCATCAGATTATCTTTCAGGAAATCTTAACAGCTTTTTGTAAAGGCACTGCTTTTATTTGCTGCAATGCAATAACGAAAGATAATCTCAGAATTTTCAGCACTGTAGACCACCTATGGAAATAGTTTTCCATAATGACTTAAACTTTGTCATATTTTTTCTTGTTAATTTATCTGATGCATTTGAACTTTCTTTTTTTCTTTTCTTTTCTTTTTTTGCCTGGCATTTTATTGCTCTTTCTAAATCCACAATTTCATCTCCTTTATGTTTTTAAACTGTTGGAATTTTATTCTTGCCTTTTTTTTGGAAAATTTTTTTTGTTTCTGTGATATTTTTTCAGTGTGATGTTCACTGATTTTTCACTATTGTGCATGTCTTTCCTAGTGAGAAAGAAGAAGAGGTAGAACTCTAAGGAATGCAGGAAGTGACATCTTAAAATGTTCCATAGAAAATTAGTGATCACTTTGATATGACACTTTGTCTGTACTTCTTTCACATTAACCAGTTCTTCTTAAACTACAAATAGACACGATTTAAATTAATATCTTGAACAAATATTAGCATGCAAACATAAACAACCATTACTTATGATTCCCCTGTTCTTCACATATAAAAGACATTTGTAATAAACAAGAGTGATGAGCAACAGTGAAAACACTGCTTCACCTTGTTGCAGGTTTTGTACTACATTGCCTATCTGGTACATTTCTATGTACAGCAATTTAGGAATAAAACTGCAACTTAATACTATTTTGTTATACCTGAAGATGTATAAAAAGAGTGGTTCAAAAAATGTTTTAAAGAAACTCAGAACAAGCTGAAAATAGGAATATTTGTTTCATATGAGACTAGGTAAATTAATCAGATAGCAAATTCCACTAATTGCCAATCTTTACTGTAAAACACAGGATTTGACCTTACTTACAGTTTATAATGTGATTGAGCTGTCATAAATAACAATATTGCAATCAGTACTTCTAGATACACCTAATCTAGTTATTACTTTTTTTTATAACGGATATTTTCACTTTACTAACATCTAGTTTTGAGACTGTTAATTGTACATAAGACCCAGGAATCTCTGAAATGATAGCCATGATGCTATAGTTCATAAGTCATTTAGCCATTAGATTAAAATTATTTGTCCACATAATCTACTGGAAGGCATCACAACCTATACCTGTAGTTGAGCAAAATATTGTTTTTGTAAATTCATTACAACTTTGTTGATCTCCTGTTAACTACCACTATATTTTTATGTAGTTTTTAAAATTTGGACTTGGCTATACATGTAGAATATTGTATACACTATGATCTTGGCAAGGTTATATATAAGATTTCAATTAAATTAACGATATATATATATATATATATATATATATAGTGTGTGTGTGTGTGTGTGTGTG